CGCTCCGCGCACCAGGCGCGTCCCACCCGCGGCCTGCTCGCCTCCCGGGGTGGCTGGGGATGCGGCCCAGCACAAAATCGTGCATTGACTTAAGACATTATGAGATTGTTTGGGGGGATTCTGCGTCGCAATGTATTGAATGTGTATCCCAAGATAGTTCTTCCTCTGCCAGTGTGGCCCAGAGACGCCAGACGTTGGGACACCCCGGGTCGTCTTTCCTGTAGGATTAGAATGGCCTAGAACAAGCGTGCTCCCATTTGCCTTGGGAATACATGACTTCTGACGACCGTGGGACCTCTGGTCGGGGACAGGCTCCCCCGTGATCCTCCCTTTCCATTAACTTGAGTGCAATATGTGACAAGATCTGTCATTCTTACTTGCTACAAAGTGTCAGTCCAGTCGTGCCTGGGCAGGACACGGGTCATTCCACAGAAGCGGCAGAGAACGAAGGAATAGCGATAGTAATGAACAGTCCCTGCCACCCAGCTGTGTCTGCGAGATGAGGAAGAGCCAGAAGCCAGGACAGCGTGATAACTGAAGAATCTATTTTCTCCTCGAGAGCCACGTGCTGGGCCCACGGTGGATGCTCCGTTTCCGCCTCGTGACCCACAGTCTTTCTTCTGAAGACAAGTGTGTTCACAGCACCAGTAGTTAATTCACGGAAGGTCACTTCCTGATCTAAATATTCATGAGACGTTCGGACGCCAGGACGTGGAGGGCAGAGGAAATCCGGGAGATCGGCCCGCCGGCCCGGTGTTGCCGGGAGAAGGGGGTGCAGGGCAGCCAGGCCCGCTCCAGCCTGGGCAGCTAGCTGCTCGTCGCAACTAGAATTTCGGCTTCCGCTGCCAGTCCCGTGTCCCTGCCGTGTCACCCTTCCGCCCTGAGCCGTGTGCCCGGCTTTTTGTCAGGCACTGAGCTATCCCATGGGCCTCCCTGGCGGCCCTGATTTTGCAGAAGGAGAAGCAGAGTTGCCCCCTACGGTAGCAACGGTCCCCCCTCTGGCTCCTGAGAAGAGGGGACCCCGCTTTGCCAGGCGTGCCTTGGAGCCTCGCTGTGACCCCCTGCCTGCGAGCACATAGTAGGTGCTCTGTCATCTGCTCTGAACCAGTTCTAGAAATACTGAGGGTGCAAATGAGCACACAATTCACACACACACACACACGCACACACGCACACACACACGTCGGGGCCACAAACATGGATTCCTACTAGTTCGTTGAACTTGTATTAGCTTTTCAGATTCCCAGAAGAGTCGAAGAAAGCCTCAGTCGGTCCTACCCCAGCTACGTGGTATGTTACATATCGGTCCAGTCTTTCTCCACCCTACCTAGGGGAAGAGAGGGATACAGTCTTTCTCCATCCTACCTAGGGGAGGGGAGGGATACAGTCTTTCTCCATCCTACCTAGGGGAAGGGAGGGATGCAGTCTTTCTCCACCCTACCTAGGGGAAGGGAGGGATGCAGTCTTTCTCCACCCTACCTAGGGGAAGGGAGGGATGCAGTCTTTCTCCACCCTACCTAAGGGAAGGGAGGGATACGGTCTTTCTCCACCCTACCTAGGGGAAGGGAGGGATGCAGTCTTTCTCCACCCTACCTAGGGGAAGGGAGGGACCCTCAGAAACACACGTCAAACATCGAGGAAGACGGCCGTGCAGAACGGGGCGGACTTGACCCGGCCCCCTTTCCGGCGAGTACACGGATCATCCCGGGCGAGAAGAGGAGGCGGCGCAAGGCCCTCCGCCGGCACGCACTGCGTGTGGCGTGTGCCGTTCCGGTTAATAAGTCAGCAGAGGAGCCCCCAAACACAGATTGAAGTTGAAAAGGATCTTTTCCTTAATTAGACAACTAACCCAGAAAAGCCTGTTTAACTGCAAGTTCGCATTTCTCCAAAGAATTGCGATTAACTGAACTTTCACAGAACGCACTGTATCCATGAGTGTGTGCGCGTGTTTAGTCACGGTGCTCATAAAAAAACCAGACTAATGGGGGTGGGGTGTGTTTGGTAAAAACGGCGAAGCAGACATCGCCGCATAGTGCCGGGGCCCTTGGTTTGCGGTTCACGGAATCTCCGCTCGGCATCGGCGTGCGGCTGGGGCCAGGGGTGCGCTGACACTGCTCTCCGCAGGTGCCGGCCCCGCCTCCTGCTGCGAGGAGATGAGGCCGGGCGACCGCACCTGCGGGTGAGGGACAGGGGTCGTCGTGGTGAACCAAGAAAAGGTGCGATACGCCAGCCAGAGAAAGACACGTTCCACATGATTCCCCTCAAATGGGGAATCTAATGAACAAACAAACTGAGAAACAAAATGGAAACAGACCCGCAGAGCTGGAGGACGGACTGACTGCTGCGGGGAGGGGCTGGGCGAGTGAGGGGATTGGGCGAAGAAACATGACTCCTAGACCCAGACCACAGCGTGGTGAGGACCGGAGGGAAAGGCGGGGGGGGGGGACAAACGGTGGCGGAAGGAGACGTGACTCGGGGGGCAAACACGCAGTATGGTATTCAGACGATGTGTTGCGGAATGGCACACCCGAAACCCGCATAATGTCGTTACCCACGGCCACCCCGACCAGCTCAGTGAGAAAAGAAGTTCATGACGCGAGAGGAGCCGCCGTCCTCACACTCCAGGTCAGCAGGACAAGGGACGGGGCGGGGCGCGGTCTCCTCCAGAGGCCGCCCGCCTCACCCTCACCTGGGCAGGTGAAGGCTCCTGCACTGACCAGATGCCGCGCCACCTGTGTGCACAGCCGCGGATAAAACCCAGCCACTCGCCCCGATACCGGAGCCGGCCGAGGCCCAGCCCCCCGGGACTTCTTCCCTCCGGGGCTTGGCGTTGTGGGACCACAGAACACAGTAGCTTCCAGCACCTTCTACCCAGACCGAAGGGAAACGTAAAACGGCTTCAAAGCAAACACAGTCCTCACAGCGCCCCCTCCCCGCCTTCCGTTCCCTCCCGCTAGCGAGAAAGCCAAGGTGAGGACGGAGGTGGCATCCGTCACAGCGTGCTTTACTCCTCGCTAGATTAATTGCTCCTGCCTCATTGGATTCAAAAATTTATTGCAGGCTTAGAGCACATGAAAGAAGTTCAAGTTTTGTCAGACATCTTCCCCTTAGGCAAACTCACAAGAACAGCTACTAGAATCAAATTAGGAGCTGTCCTGGCGCCCGGAGGGGTTCCGGCTCATCACTTCGGGGTGACGCGAGCACGTTACGCTCCGGGAGGCCTGAGCGGAACCGGGCACCCGGCGGCCCCTTCGGGTCCAGCCAGCCGACAGCGCGGCCTGGGGACACCGCCTCCTTCGCCCCTTCAGTAAGAAGTGCCGACATCCCGCCGCTTCCTGGACCGTGCGACACCCCGCTCCCGGGGCGGGGAGAACGGGGAGCCCTCGGCACGGGCGGGGGGGTGCAGACTGCTGCAGCCACTGGGGGAAGCAGTGCGGAGATAGCTCAGAAAATTAAAAATGGACCCGCTTTACGAGCCAGCGCTTTCCCTTCTGGGAACCCAGCTGAAGAAACCCGGAACACGACTCCAGAGAACATAAGCTCCCCTGTGTTCGTTGCAGTGTTAGTTATAATGGCCGAGATCTGGAACCCGCCCACGGGCCTGTCAGTCGGTGAGTGGATAAAAAGGCTGTGGCCATTTCTACAGTGGAATACTACGCGGCCATAAAAAAGGGCTGTTTACCTTTTGTGACAGTGTGGATGGACCTGGAGGCTATTGTGCTGAGTGAGATGAGCCGGTCAGAGGAAGACAAGCACCCCGTGATCCCGTGGGAGGTAACCTGACCGCCGTCCTGGCTGGCGGTCCAGCTCGGCCTTCTGAGGATGGGGCCTGGCAGACACCTGCCGGGTCCTCCCTCTGCAGACTCGCGCCTCACCCGCCGGCGCCCCTTCCCGAGCCTCTGGCGAGGGCTCCTCGCTGCTCCTGGAGACGGGTACTACCCAACTTCTGTTCCAGCCCCTTCCTCTCACCCCGGTCAGGGTGTCCCTGCCTCCGCCCTTCCCTCCAGATCTTCCTTCTGCGGGTCCCGGTGTCCCAGCCCCCCTCTGGGCCCCGCCCCTCACTCAGCACCCAGCTTAGAATCACCTTCTCCGAACTCTGGCACCTGCCGCAGTGGGGAGGCCCCCTGCGGACATGAAGGGAAAGGAGCCAGTCACAGACAGACCAGCGGTGGGTGGGGTTCCCCATACAGGAGGTCCCCGCCGTCGTGACCTTTGTAGAGGCGGGGGCAGAGCGGCGGTTGCCGGGAGCTGAGGAGGCGGAGAGGGGAGTGAACGTTTCATGGGGACAGGGTTGCGTTTGGGGACGGGGACCCAGGTCTGGGGACGGCAGTGGGGGTGGCCGCGTGGCCAGGTGCACCGTGCACTTAGAAGTGGTTCGGGGGACACATTTGCATCAGGTCTGTTTCTGCACAAGGAAACCCTCTTTTCTCCATCATGCTCTCAGGGAACCCCTCGGCCTGAGCCGGGGAGACCCAGCCCACATTCCCGGAGCCCCCACCCGTCCCCACGGGGCCATTCTCCTGCTCGTTTGTCCTTGTTGCAAGTGGAATAAAAGCGTGGGACGTGTCTCACCTCCTTTGTCACTGTGCACACAGCAGGGGCCTCTAAATAAACTGTAATGAGCATTGAATGAACGAACCTCGGGCCTCCCGTCCCCCAGCCCACCGCTCTTAACTGCTAAGAGGAGACAGGGTTGCTAAGATGGTCAATGCATTTGACGTGGAAGCACTCAAGATCGCCCCGTCCTGGTAAATGATGACGTGGGGCGAACTGCCTGGAGTCCGACGTGGGGTTCGAGTCTCTGACGAGCCTGAAATAATGCGGGTTCTGGCCACCGTGGGCGAGCCCACAGCACCCCCGCCCCCCCGCCCCGCCCGGTCCTATCAAATACGCGCGCCCGGAAAACGCAGGGCGCTCGCGGCCGGTTTTGGACTCCGAAGCGCCCCCTGCAGGTAGCCACGCTCTCGGTTAACACGGCGCGTTTTCTCTTCCCGAACCAGATATTCATCTTCGAGAACAACATCTACTACTGCGCCCACGTCGGGAAGCAGGCCATCCGCGTGGTCTCCACGGGCAAGGAGGGCGTCATCTACAACGGCCTCAGCGACTGGCTGTACGAAGGTGAGCCGCGGCGGGCGGCCGGGCGCCAGGGGCGGGGCCGCGTGGTCGCCAGGGTCACCGCGACCCCTGCTGGGCGGTGCTGGGTGGTGTCGCCTCTTCCCGTCACTGCCACATCGGCTCCGCTCCGGCTTCCCGAGGTGCTGCTCCTGCTGGGGCCTCACCTGGCGGCCAGGTGCGCCGGGCCCTGCAGCGCCGAGCCCTCGCACTCAGGGGCTCGAGGTGCTGCCCGGGGAGGCGCACTGGACCAGGAGGTGACTCGTGGGGACACTAGACTGTGCCCAGGTGTGGGACTCTCACACCAGGAGCTGGGACGCCTGGTTCTGGCTCCAGGTGGGAGGGCTGGGAAAGGAAGGACAGGTTACAGCTCCGGAGGGAGCCAGTCCCAGTGAGTTGAGTCCCAAGTCCTCGCCCTGGTGGGCACTCCCTGCTCTGCAGTGTCCTGCGGCGCCCGTGGGCGCCGGCTGTGGGCACTATTAAATATTAAACATCCGAGGGAGGTTCTCTGCTCTTAACGTTTCTTTTCTTTTTAACTTTTTTTAAAGGTTTTATTTATTTTATTTTTAGAGAGAGGGGAAGGGAGGGAGGAAGAAAGGGAGAGAAACATCCATGTGTGGTTGACTCTTCAGCGCCCCCTACTGGGGACCTGGCCTGCAACCCAGGCCTGTGCCCTGACGGGGAATCGATCCAGCGACCCTCTGGTTCACAGGCCGGTGCTCCATCCACCGAGCCACACCGGCCAGGGCTGCTCTTAACATTTCTAACACACCTCCACGCCGGTGAGACACCATCACCGTCACGTGGCGCTGGCTGTGCCGGGCCAGGCTCCGTGCTGAGCGCCGGGCCTGGGTGTCCGTCCCCTCACGTGAGTGCCTGTCTCGGTCCCCGTGCAGCACACGGGCGCTGCAACAGGCCGGGTGGCCTTCACCACACACAAGCGCACACACACACACACACACACACACACACACGACTTCTCATCATCCCGCCGGCCGTGGGGGTCTGGGGAGCGCTCTCTCCCGGCCCGAGGACCTGTGCCCTCACAGGGTGGGGTGGGGGGAGAGAGCGAGAGAGCCCATCACAGTCTCATGCACCCTCGTAGACGCTCTCATCCCCCCTGCAGAGGCCCCACCTCCAGACACCGGCCTCGCGGGGACTGAGGGTTCCGCGTGGGTTCTGGGTGACGCCGACCTTCAGTCCCCCCCCTACCCCCAGGACAGCGTTCTGGGAGGTGGGCATCATGGGCGTGAGCTGGGGGAGGCACTGGGAGCTCGGGGGTCCCCCCCACGTTCACGCAAGGCTAGGGGGCATGTCCCAGGGACCGGTGCTGGTCAGGTCCGGGGCTATGCCCTTCCCAGGGGTCCCGACGTGAACCCGCCAGCCTGTGCTCCTCGCCGGCGGCCTCAGCCCGGCCCGCCTGGGACCGCGCAGTCACCGGGCCAGCCTGGGCCGAGGGCGGCCAGGGGGCGACGCTCCGGGCATTCTCAGCCCAGAAAGTGCCCTTCGACCCCACGCAGTGCACCCCGCAGTGTGGGATCCCCCAGCACGGGCACCTGCTGGGGCCCCTGAGCCTTATCCCCCACTGGGGGTGCCACTGGACACACCGAGACACGGGGTCCCCCGACGGGGCCTCCAGTTTCAGCGACCGGATGGTGGTGGCACCGGCCAGGACGCGCGGCTGCAGGGACACGATCCCAGGAGCCCCGGCCCCGTCAGACACGGGGCAGCCAGCACCCCCGCACACCGCCCAGGGCCCCTTTCCCGTCAGCCCACCCCCACCCGCGGCCCCTTCCCGAGGCCACCCCCGTCCTGACCTCCGACGGGCTTGTCTCCCGGCAGACACGCCGGCCCCTTCCAGGCTGCCCCCCCCCCACAGGGGGTCCGCTGAGAGTGCCAGGTCTGTCCTGATGTGGCCGCTGCGGCTCAGCACGTGCGCCCAGGGTTCCAGCCCCAGAGTTGTTTGCTGGGCCCCGGAGGCTCGACCTTGAGACCTGCCTGCCCATAACCCCAGGCCCCTCGGGAGGGCATCCCTGGGTCGCCGGAATGAAGGGGACACTGACCACTGTCCGCTGTGGCCTCACCGCCCCGTGAGTGGCGGCCCCGAGTGCCCGAGCGGTCGGTGGCAGACACTGCCCCCCTGCCCAACCCAATGCCCCTCAGAGAAAGGGCTGGGAGTCCCGGCTGCAGGATCCTGGCCCCACGCTGGGACTGATCTCCTTTAACAACTCCGTAAGCCGGAGATTTAAAATATCTTTTCTAGTATCTCCCTCGTAAAATACAAAGCGCATTGCTTGGCAAGGCACATCAAGCTTTAGCTTTAGCTTTAGCTTTAGCTTTAGCTTTAACTTTAGCTTTAAAGATCCGTTGAAAGGAAATTTCTCCAGGAGACGTGTACGCGAAATCGTGCGGGGGTGAGAGCGGCCCCCGAATGGTTACATCGACCACAGCCCACGTGGCCGCTTCACGGACTCAGCGCCGGTTCCCGGGAGGCCCCGTGCACCGCCGGCACCTGGACTTCTGTGGCCGGGGGCCCCGGGGAAACTTGGTTCCTTCCTCACTCCTGGGCAGGAAAACTTTAAAGATGGCCTGTCTCTCGTCTGTGGCTTAGTTTCATTTCCAGACACTCCCTTTAAAAAAACAAAAAGGAAAAGGCAGGAAAAAGGATGGGGGGGGGGGAAGAACAGCCCGGAGGGCGTGCGCAGGGCCTGGCTCGCGGGGAGGGGGAGGGGCTCGTTCCGAGCAGAAACTCCGGGACGGACGCGGGAAACGCCACTGTGGTCACTCTATCGCTTTGTTCCGTGTCCCAGAAAGGACCTTAAACGTACCGAACGTCTCGGAAGACCGAGGGCCGAGGGAGAGAAAGCGGTAGGCGGCGTCGGGCTGCCCGAGGGTCCAGCCTGTGACCAGGTTCCCACGCAGGAAAATCCCCCCAGGTACCACCGAGGCCGCCGGCGCCGGCGGAAAGGCACCCCGGACGCACTGGCGGCGGCGGCGGCGGCCCCAGCCTGCGGGTCTCTGGTCCCCCGGGCTCAGGGCGACCGCACGCCGATGTTATCCGGCTAAAAAATGCTTCATCCTCACTGGCGTCCTCCGGGCGAGCGCCGTGCCATCACATAGAATGTTGGTTGTAATATCGGCGCGTAAAGACTGTTGGGTGAGCGCCGACCCCTGTTTCGGGGTTTCCCGGAATCTACAGGCAGCCGGCACGGGGGGCTCTGAGGACTCCGAGGACCCTGCCCAGGGTGCGCGCGCGCGCTCGCAGGAGGGGCCGCGCGTCTGCCAGGCCCCTGATCTGCCGGGCGCGGGGGCAGAGAGGCAGAGCCGCCCGCGTTCCCGCGGAAGGGCCGTGGTGACCGACCGGGGTCGCGGAGTCGGCGACATGCTCCTGCTGCCGCCCGCGGCCTGCGCTCTCTCCGCCGCCGGCCGTCCTCCTCCGCGTGCGGAGCAGAGCGGGAGAGCCCGGAATCTGGGGCCTACATTTTCTGGCCGTGAGACCGTCCTTAATGTTTCCGCGCCGAGCCACCTGCCAGCTGCACCTCTCTGGCCAGAGCAGTGAAGTGAAGTGTGTGACCCAAAATGCGTCTGGTCACCCAGGGATGCGTCATGACGGCCGGAGACCGGTGGGGTCCCTTGGGAAGCAGGTCCTTCCCCGAGTGTGGACGTGCAGCGTCCCCGGGTCCCCACCCCCCGAGAGGGCGGGCGCGACCTTGGGAGGGTGTTTGTGGGGCCCGGAGCCCTCGGGGCTGGAGACAGCCGCTCGACACCTGTTTCCTGGGTATCTGGTTCCGGGCAGACGCGACCCCAGGGCCGGCCTCCCACCTGGGCTGGTCCAGAGACCAGAGCCACTTGGAAAGGCTGGGGGGCCCCGGGGGCGATGATCAGCTGGGAATGGGCAGCGGCGGTGGTCACCCAGGCTCTCGGGTGCCTGGCCGCCCAGGCGGGCGGCATCTATGCACCGTGACCAGAGGGTTGAGCCCGTGAGGACAGACCCATTCTGCGGGGCCCCGGCCAGTCCCCTTGTACGCCGGCCCCATCTTCCCAGCACCCCTCCCGTTCCCTGCAGCGCCCCCCCACACCACCGCCACGATCCCAAGTGCCCTCTGCACCCCGGGGTCCCTGCCCCAGGCCTCTCTGTCCTCTGTCCACCGTCCCTGCTGCTGACGGCCGTCATTCCTCCTGGAGCTGCTGTGCAGGACGGGGTAAGGGCTGCAGACCTCGGGGCCGGGTGCTGAGAGGTTGGTTAGCACCGAGGGAGGGAGGGAGGGAGGGAGGGAGGGAGGGTTGGTTCTTGCCTGAGCGAAGGGGGACCGGTTTCCTTGGAGACTCAGACACTCACCCCAGCCTTTGCCTTTGGGCCCCCAACCCTGCCTGCCCCCTCTTTGGGCCCTGCCCCTGCCCCCCTCTCCTTCTGGAACGCTGGCCTGCAGGAACTAGGTCACTCGGAGTCCCCTCCTTCTTCCCTGACCTTTCCGTGCTTAAATGTCAGGGCGCTGAGCACACAGAGACTGCGGGGAGTCGGAACCCACGCTGACGACTCTATAATGGAGTCTTTCCTGGTCCTCACATTTACCTAGCGGGTGGGCAGGAGGAAAGGGCCCCAGCTGCACCCCCCGGCAGGGGATCTGGGGGGCACAGCACGTGGTGTCGCTTCATCTCCTCCCCCCCTTAAACACACGCACCCAGGGGGTGTGCGCTGGGAAGGAGTTGGCCTGGGGTGCCGGCGCCCCTGCTCTGCGCCCCCTGCTGGCCCTCTCTGCGTCTCCCTCTGTCACCCCCTTTCCCTTCCTTTCTCTGCCATGCGGGGGGGTGGGTGAGCCCGGCTGTGCTCTGGGCTGAGGGCGGCCGGGGAGGTGCAGGGGGCGCAGAGAGAGCTTGGCCCCTTCCTGGCCTCGGCCACAGCGGCTGGGACTTGGAACCACAGAGACCGGGCCCCACATTGCTTCTGGGAACCAGGACCGTGAGGGGATGACGATTCATGGAGCTAGGTTTCAGGCTCTCGGCTC